TATGCGATGGTCAGACTTCTTCGTGAAAGCTCTGAACAAATGGTATGAAGTTCATCGTGTCCATCGAGCACAGAAGTCCAATGGGCAACTCTTGCACGTTGCAGGGACAAATGGAGACGTTACTGGCGCCCGCTCGAGGAACTCGATGATCAACGGGAGCACAGGTGATACAGGTGATACTGCTCGGCACGATTTCCCTGCACGTGGGCGGGAGTGGAGCAAGGCAATCGCACCATGCCGCGCTGGTGAGCTTGGCGAGCGACATTGCGCCTGAGAAACTCGAGTTGCCTTGCCTTGTTCTTAAGTCGGATGTTAGAAGAAGATCCACATCTCTCCTCAGGGATCACTGGCGTCTAGGAGTGGAGAGTATAGGGCGATGGGAGAGTACTAGATGTCTGCAACTAGATGACCACCTATCGCGTAATACACTCTATCAGCAGTCTGCTACCCTCCACTCCCGCTGCTGGTCGCTGCTAGACTTTGGCAGACGCTAGATCGATATCCATACTTTCCTAGTCGCTAACGCTGACGGACGCTTGAAACGCTGGTGGGCGCTGGTGGACGCTGGTAGACGCTGTCGTCCACTAAATCGATATCTATACTTTCCTAGTCGCTGACGGACTCTCGAAACGGTGATGGTCGCTGGTGGACGCCGCCTTATCCTTCTCAACGCACTGATATTACCTATCGTAGAACGCAGCCATGCCAAAATCCTGCGCCTGTGTTAAGTACGAATCACCCACCTCGATGACGAGAAAGACGCTATATCTGGAGGAGGCGGTGGCTCAGTGAATTTCGATGGCGTTGGTCCCATTTTTTCATAGGTGTCCTGGACGGCTGGCATTGGTGATTGTGGAGTAGAGGTAGCAGCACGTTTAGGGGGTTTAATTGGCGATGTTGGCACTGAACCACCAGGAATTGGTGGCGCAGGGACAGGACCACCGGGATCTCCTATGGGGATTGGTGATGTTGGTACCGAGCCACCTGGTGGGAGAGGTGATTCCGGTCCAAGCGGTACTCCTGTACCTGGCGTCACGTTTTCGCCCATACCTGTAACAAGTTTCAGTTGAGAGTGGGAGGGCAAATAAGAGAAGTAGAGACAAGAATCCAACCTCGCCCGTTTCTATCAACCTTCTTTATGAAATGAGATTCACCCGTCTTCTCATATTCGGATATGGATATAGGTTGAGCTGCTATCACATTTTGAACAGCCCCCTCAGACCATGCACATGCCAAATGGATATCGATTTTTTGCGCGAGCACTGGTTTATAGTGAAGGCGCCACAACAAGTAGGAGGGGAACAAGGGGTCTTTTCGAGTCACACCATGGTTCCCTCCCTTCATGGGCGCACGTGACGCAGTGGTAAGTGGCGCCTCCCACCACGCACTATGAGAAAACCAAATCCCGAGCTCAGTATCCCCATAGCCAACCAAGCCTCGTCATCGTGACCGATAAACTAATATCAAACTCATGTGAAACAGTTATATCGTTGACCTTAGGTTGCCCCCCCTCCCCCAAACGCTTTCGCCCATAAAGTTTGGACCACAGCGCTTTCAAACCGTCCCCGAGTGGAAGCGTCGCATCTGGAAAAGAAGCAAGTATGCCATGTCATGCCTGTATACCTGCTTTCTCCACATAGATCGAATCTCGAATTAGTTTTGAAATGGATGCAGGCATTTTCATGCTAAAAGCCAGTTGCAAATGGCAAGGTGGCTGGTTACACCGCCCCCGCCACTATCTCTTCAGGAGGGGGCAGGTAAGAGACATCGACTGCAACACTGCAGCCCGTATGCATCAACCAGGTTTCTTCCATTTGAACCCTAGCCCTTATCATCTGATTCAGAGTTTGCAACACGAGCAACGCCTCCGTTGTCATCAGGAGCTTGCGTTATCATCGTATTCGAATGCGCAAACTACAATACTTGGCAAAGTGCCAGAAGCACCGCGCGTGACACGCATTTGCGACGGTCGTGGCTAAGTATAGATGGCATTGCTAGCGCGGGCAAACGGGTGTCTTGCGTCACAACTTGCTCTTCAGATGGTATGACACAGAATTAGCCATCCACGTCCGGACCCATCCGGCCGCATTATATAGACCGCTACGTCCTGAGAAAACTTCTGCGGTTCCGGCACTGAGCCTGCTGACTCCCGCATATGCCAAAGATCGCTCCGCGAGCAGCAGTGGCGCAGCGGACTCATCGTGCGATTTTGTCAAGCTGAACGACCCCCCACCCCACCACCCCTCCTTTTTTTGGGGCATTGGTTACGACCCCCCCCCCTCTCCGCCTCTGTTTCCTCCTCAGCAATCGAGCTGTCGAGCTTAATAAGGGGCGGGACATAGAATACGCCTTGAAAAACAAGATACACGAAAAGCAACCACTTTCCTACCAACGCAAATTAAAATACGACCCCCCCCCCCACTCCCAACAACGGCCAAATTACCTTATACAAACATCCGTGAAGCCTAGAAAATAAGCTATCAAAAACCAATTTTGCCAGGCCAAATACGACCCTTCCCTATTGGATTCAGTAACAACAATGCCCTGAGTGAGCGTGCCTTTCGTGTCCAAACAAGGCCGGATCCACCTGTCAGTTCACCACTACCGCCCCTAAAGGGTAGATAATGCTGAAAAATGAAGTGATATTTGAACTGTTTGCAGTCAGTTGTTGATTTCAGGCTAGCAGTTCCGACTAATCATGCCTAGGTGAACTGCCTGTAGCTCCCACTTCAAATCTACAAGGCATCAAACTCGGTTGGTTGCACCACTGCTTCTAACTTCTCTTGAACCAACTGTGTCCATACGCTATGAATGACCTTAGAAGTGGTATACCTGTGAGCCGGAGTGGGAGTGTCCACGGGAATGATTGTGAGGACGGCGGTGGTGGATCTTCTGATCCACACAGAAACGGATGAAAGGCGCTGCACTGACGTGACCTTGTGCCATGCGATCTATCACCAATGCATACGCTGTCTCCTTCCTCTGTCTGGATCCAGCGACTACCGCACGCTTCCGACCCAGGACCGTGCACGCTTCCCTCCAACAACGAGATATCTACTGTAGTGATCTGTTCACCTACCTACTTACAACCACCTTATTACAGGCGAGATCAATTTCAGAAGGAAATAAAGCTCATGGGCAACGAACCGGTGAGTCCAACTTGCAGCCAGCTTATTCATCGATGGGCACAGTGCTTACAAAGAGGCGGTATACAGTATCCCAAGACTGCGCGTTGATGCGTCCAGCCCATGAATGCACACAATGGATATACTGTAATTTCGGCCCGTCTGCGTCGTAATTACTCAAGATAAAGCGCGCCTATTAGCCAACTCATGTACGCTTCACCACCATAAGCATAGGGTAAGGCCTTGAAGTAAGGCTGCGTTCATACTTTACGGCAGCCTCCACAAGCGACCATCAGCGTTTCAAGCGTCCGCCATCGCCAGCGCTAGGAAAGTATAGTATCGATCTAGCGAACGGCAGCGTCCACCAGCGTCCGCTAGCGACCATCAGCGTCTCGAGAGACTAGGAAAGCATGGATATCGATCTTGCGTCTACCAGAGTTTACCAGCGACCACTAGCGTCCACAAGCGACCAGGAGGGTATTGTGCAGTACTACGTGCGGTTGCAGAGGCCATATTTTCACGACGCCTAATCCATATGTCTCCTCACTCCTAGTTACCCATAATCTACCAGCAGTCTGCTACCCTCCTGCTTCCCCATACTCTCTACTCCTGGTCGCTGGTAGACGCTAGATCGATATCCATACTTTCCTAGTCCCTCGAGACGCTGATGGTCGCTGGCGGACGCTGGTAGACGCTGCCGTTCGCTAGATCGATATCTATACTTTCCTAGTCGCTGACGCTGATGGACGCTCGAAATGCCGATGGTCGCTGGTGGACGCTGCCGCAAAGTATGGACGCAGCCTAAGGGCGACGCAATGTCAGTCCGCCACCTAGCCCTCGAGGCACTGGCGGCAGGTGCTTAGAGGCGATGTTGTGTGCGTTCACGGGACCCAATCACTTTATTCTACGCGCGATACTAGGGTACTGTATGCACACGTTCGTGGGCTTATAATTCAAACAACCCTCATGAATTCAAAACTGGGTCAGACTACGAAGGCGAAGCTTTTCAGCCAGCTGTTAAAAATTGCTACAATATCACATTGGGA